CGATTTTCAGTCCAAATTACAATCAAGCACCATGCCCCGTGTCTATCAAATAGTCTATATGTTCTATGTGTTTCCGGCCCTGGTTCGGTATCATTTCTAATTCTAATTTTGGCTCATCTTGCCATGGTCTTTTCGTAACGTGATCAGATAGTGGCGGCGAGACGAATCGCGAAATGCATGTAATAACTGCCATTTTAAAAGCCATTCCTGTGTCCCAAGAGTTTCAGTGCTTTAGTAATCAACCTTGCATGCCGTACATTGAAGTTTGCGTGCACCCAGAGAATATTAATACTTAATCTCTGAGTTAACTTTCCCAAATGTGATATGGACAGCAGGTGTTAGAATTAACTTTGGCTGTTTCATGCGTGGAAAGGTATTGCCATCGATTTAATCGGATTAGCTCCGCCTAAGAAGGAGTTATGTAGGCAAAAAGTTGTCCAGGCACCTTTTACTTGATTTTCAAGATCACCCATGTCTATCTGATAATATTCAAAGATTTGCGAGTCTGTTTCTCTGCTTGTGTTAAAATAGGCCTACAGGTAGGCGTAATTTTAGGGCTACTCTTCATTTACTTGTGCAAGTGTAATTCTGTTGACTTGGTAATTGATTTTGAATATTATACAAGCTTAAAGCCTAAAATGAATACCCTCTCAACTAACTTTTTTCTTTCATTGTTTTCACGAATACTTCTAGCGAAAAAGACTGACGGTCTTCTCAAAGCAATAATTTAATATAGGCACAAAACTAAATGCCTATTAAGAGAAAATAAAGTAAAATCTTCGGTCGTCGCGTTTTCTCATCAGAAAAAGAAACAAAAATGTTTATATCAGAATTAAAAGTTTCATAACAGTACCAAGTAGAAATATATACTACATCTTAAATTCACGCTAACCATGGCAATCCACATTTTGTACTCATGCCCATTGCTATATTACCGTTACCACCCATCTTTCAGAAAGTACAAATTTCGTTGGACATCTGCTCGGAATTATTGGCACGCTTAAAAGCCATTGGCATATAATCAGGAGTTATGGAAGACTTCTTGGATAGGACTGATTGATTAAATTGATTATATTGATTGAATTCGATGCAATTGGCCCTGTAAACCTAAGGTTGAGACCAGTGTAGACTGCTACGGATGAGTTGTGTAGTTTTGGTTCAGAAATACACGGTACATTGAGCATGTTTGATATTTGAGTGTGTGGAAGAGCGTGTTTAACTATAAGTTATTGCAGCAATTTATGGTTTGATATAACGTATGCCATTGTTACACGTGTTGCATATTCTAATCTCGACGCCGACTGTCAATCTGTTAGCCTAATGTTTCCCACTGCAGTAATAAACTCAGATTAGGTGTCAAATTATACTGCCTTATTACGTTGTATTAGTTCTATTGTGTACTTTTGTGACATTAACCGCCGTGCATATACACTGTACGTAAGTTTTTTTTAAGTTGACTAGTTATCTAGATGTTAAATTTTTCGTCATTATGATTTTGAAATATCTGGTCTCGATGCTCGCCACATTTTACCTTGACGTTCTGACATGACTTCCCACACCTATTGCATAGCAGCAAAATAACCCATGTTGAAATCTGACTTCTAAATGCCGTATGAGGACGACGGAATTGCCATATCATATGTTATTTTCTTCATCATAAGTAAAACCACAACTGGAACAAACACAATAAGCAAAGGCCATCACAATGTGAACCTTATTAGCAGCCAAGAATATACCTTACCTTCAGATCAAATTCCGCGGATATTCTGTTACTTTGATAGGTTTTGTCGTATGTTATACATAGTATGAATAGCTACACCATTTCTAATTGAATTGAAGCAACTATCACCGCCAAACCGATCATTTGTCAAATGTCACTCACTGTGATGGGACGTTATTCATGAATCAAGAAAAACATAAACACGCGCGCACACATGGCAACGAGTATGTATATATATACACTTTACGTTCATTTCGCTTCTCTCTCTTTTAGGTCCCATGTGCCAATCGCATGTAAACCACCGATATGCCTACCGGATGGTTTTGTATAGATCGACGCTGCATTATCGGCTTTAACAAGCAGTAATATACCGGTATATCATGCAGTAATGTGCTCGGTCCCTCGATAAAACATTACAACAATAAAAACATCAGCGTATATATGCCTTACCAACCTAGCACTGGACCATACTACAGAAAGTGAATATTATAGTTATGCACACATTTTTAGTTTCGCACACATTATGTGTAATATTCCCACAAGCCTTTTATATAACTTTTCAATAAGTGCTGATTCAGTCCTATATTGGAAGGTTTCTTAAGCATAAGGCATAAAAATAATGGAATTGATTAAAGTTAATGCGTGCGTCACTATATCATTCAAAGGTCCACTTTCTGTGTACTAGAGCTGCATGTAGAAATGACCATACTGTTTTCTGGACGCTCAACTTTTCTGATCGCGGCAATGAATCGTAGACATTGACATATATCCCGAAAAACATTTTATTCATTCTTATCATGAAGATAATGAATAAGCAGTGGGCATGCAGTATGTGTTTGAAAATTAATTGGAATCAAAAGTACAATACTTGATTGCTTCAAAATAATGTGGAGCCGGTGCGATTGAGTACATGCATATACCTACACGTAGGGAAGGAATTCGTATGCAACTCCTCAAAATATTACATTGGGGATACGTGCGAACGTTTCTAGGAATTGACGAGTGTGGGGAATAAAACACTTGGTGTCTAGCCGAGGTTATGGAAAGAATCGAAATTAGTGAAAGGATCGTCATTATACATGTAGTATACAGGCATTTGGAACGAACTCTCGTCATCTCACGCGAGAAAATAATTATCGCTGTCAATAGACAGTGACGTAAGAAGTGATAATGGGTCAAGAACGTTGAGTGTATCTGTTTAATATCAATGCGCTTCGCTGTATATGTTATCTAAGTAGCCAATATTCTTGTGAAACGAATAGGATGCATGCCAGCACACTTCATAGTACATAACAAAAATAAACATATCAGTAATGTTCACAGCCTACTAGTACATATACATTTTGTCAAATATATTGAAATAAAAATATAAATGTGTTGTTATTTGCATTCAATATCCTGAAAACTGGCCTGAACGTCGATAAAACTATGCTTTCTGACATTCACCATTTACATGTACCGGGTATATTAATTGAACTCCAACTGAAGATAGATGGACCTACGTTGTGAGATACGCAATCTAGATTGTGTGCGCTCCTTTCTGGTAAAAATTCCAGCCTTCTGCCTCAGGTGTCATAACCTTATATCGATGTTTGTGGCTTGGAGTCGCGAATTTGTGACTTCGATCGCCAAATTAATGACTTGGAACCTTACTTACGTATCATCATTGTATCGGTACTGAGTGCAGCAATTTTGTACGCCTATACAGTTTGTACCTCCAAACTTTTAATAAATGGAATCGGTAGACGAACTATGTAAGAAGTATATTTGCATATAAAGTTACATTTATCTTTATTTAAAATATCAGCACGTCTAGTCGGAGTTGCTGCAAGGTTCAACCAAAAGTAAATTACAATTGAACATCGTCCATCAAACTTTAATTTGAAATGGTTGACCTTCAGTATGTGCGGAGATCTGTATTAGACATATAGTCTAAAGAATCAAGCAGATATTAACTTTTCCAGGCACTGCAAAATGGATATTGATGAAAATATCTTGAGAAAAATCACATTTTCCCACAAGAACATTCCACCAATATCTGTTTTTTTCAGTCGTTTTTGTGTATATCATGTTGATTTCTTTTGAACATTATTTTTAAAATTATTCTTAAAAGAAGATATGAGTTTCAATAAATAAAAGTTACACATGTTTTTGTTGTCGATCAGTGTATAGTCTTTATGCACAAATGTTGACGTAGGACTGGTTGTTCACGTGGAAAACATTACATGAATACCCAGCTAATAGGTCGACGACCGCATCCGTTGGAAATTAAATCTGAATTACTTTCCCACGCCCTCGTTATATGTGGTTGAGATAATGAACTCTGTTTTGTTCTCTTGATATAATTGTGCGTGATATAAACCTTAAGCTATATGCAGTAGCACTGTGTCTCAGAACAAAATAGCAAGCTCTTTACAAACGACCTTTCTAGATGGCGACAACGGACTTTGGAATACATCGAACTACCTGTAGCTGCAAGAGGGTGTTATACTGTATACAGTGGTGTACACACTGATAATTTAACTTCGATAAAGCATAGACATGCTAAAAGTTGCATTTCATCCGTGTGGAGGAACAAACCTGAAACTTATCACTTCTCCGCCATCTTACATCAGAAACAAGGATAGATTACGTCATGTCCGTCGTAGGCCTAAATATCGTGTATATATCATTTTGAGGTCAATCGTAAGACAATATGCTATCAAATGCTACTTCAGTCCCTTCGACAGGGGCTTCGAAAGAACCGCTTCTTTGGATGGGAAAGGTCCACCCTGAATACAAAGAAAATTGATTTACCGGTAGGTTCCATGCCTTGTTAAATAAGCAAATAAAATAAGCACGTAGGTTTCATAGTAAAAAGGTCTATTTTTCAGCAAAGATCACCCTATGAAATTGCTGCCTTCAGACATGTGTTTTATCACTTACTACTACTTACATTTTGATTGAGGACCTATAGGCAGTGAAACGGCTATCAACCATGCTTGGTAGTCTGTGCAATCTTTCATATTTAGCAGACCACTGTTTTTTCACTAAATTAACTTAGGCAATCACGTAACAGGGAGTTGAATATCTTCTGAAGCTAAATAAATTTAAAATCTTAATTAAGTTTAAATCGCCCTGGACGTTACAACCGACTAAAGAAGGCACTTAAAAGTGGCGCCGTTTGGCTTATTTTTAAAATATGCATAAACTTACAACGCAATATCGAATTGAAAAGGAACCTTTTTTTATTTTTCATGCGATCAGAAATGAAACCAATGTAACATGTCTTAAAGAATACCTGCATATATGTCCATCGGGGGCGACTTTATCACAGGCGAGGTGGCTTCTCTCGATGTAGTGGACCTGGCTTATATGACACTGTTACACTCGCTGTAACTCGTAATCTGTGGCTCATCGCAGAAATCCAATACCTTTATACAGACGTCCAATTTGTCAGTCGCTCATATATAATAAAGCAGCCAATCTTTCATATTTGACATCTAGGAACAAGATATAAGCCTGATACCCTGGCAAATGACATTATATGGCTTAATCCATAGCAATCTCTGAGTTCTGGTCTATACTGCAAAAATCACCCGTCCTTACTAGTGACTCATCAACAGCATGCTAGTAATGACGCTCAGGTTTGTTAGTTAGGCTACTTTTCTAATATAAGCTAGGCAATACGTCAGATTTGACAAAGTCATTTGAGATATAGAACCTACACCCTGGACACAGAAATCAGATGATTTAATCCACTGAAACTTAATATCTGCCATGAATAAAATATTTCTATGATACCAACAATTTCCTCTCAACTAAACTAGCATTCCGCAGTTGGGTGTCGGTATTTGTCAAATAGTTTAAGTGGAATACTTAATTGATAAAGTCCGTTGTTAAGAAACCACAGAGAGGCACTATTACACCAGAGCACATTCGTTTCTACCAACATATTTCTGTTTAAGTAATGTTTCAGTATCTGTCTCTCTTAGGGCGTATTCCCATACATTTTAGATCGATCTATCCCCGTGGGGAGTCTCACTAGATTACTGTCAGATAATCCGGCTTAAATGTCCGTCCCGCCTACTACAAGCTGTTAGGGAGTAATTAACTTTCGTGCCCGCTCGGCTGACAGCTATTTAGCGTGAACCCCCAGGGAGTTAGGTCGATCTAGTTTGGATCGATCTAATCTCTGGGAATGGGGTCTTAAAGTAATTTTTAAGTTTCACTTGTATTAAAATCTATAGCGCTCCTATTGTGTTTAATGGCGGCTTTTTGTGTTTTTGTTTTTTCCCATGGCCAGTACTCTATGTAGAATGTCTTTCAGTTTTTTCATGTCTTTAACACTTCATGGCAACATTGCCCAGTTTTATTGAATATTCCTTGTCAAGCATGTATTAATCACGGAGGTGGGTTGTTATGTTAAAAACAAGTGCATAAGTATATAATTAATTTATTAGTAAAACTATTACATGCATCATTATTAGTCTTAGCTAAGTCGATACACAAGCCAAATATATGCATATGTAGATACTGGGCAGATGTATATAGTACAAAATAATCACAAAAAAATATACTCTGTCTCATTTTCTCATACATACATGTATTTCTGGATACTACTCCAATACAGTATAAGTATCACAGTCATGCCATTTGAAGGTACGGGGCGAGCATTCGTCTTTTTAACCCTCGCAGTGCTTTCTTGGCAGTCTGAATGTGTTCAAAATAAGATTGTGGCGATTTTACTCTGATCGGTATCACCTTGTCGCTGGCAGTTTTGCAACCAACGAATGAATTCCCATTTTCTTCCCATTGGTTACCATTTAATGTCGTCTATAGATAAACAGTATGTGCGTCAACTGCCTTCAGACATTTAACTTGTGTAAGCTATATACAAGTATAGTACATTTGAGAGGCACACATTTGGATATTAATCATGTACCTGATGTCGATAATCTTTGGATATAGAGGTAAACACGCATAAATAGAGACATTAGAGACTGAGTATAGATGTGGTAGCAATCTGAAACCATCTGCAATCTCTCTCTCTCTCTCTCTCTCGCGCGCGCGCGCGTGTTAAATGCATGTGTATTCAAAGTACAGAAAACAATCTTTTTCTAACATATGTTTTTGTGAGTTGAGTTGTATAGCATCACTGAAATAAGGTAGTAAAAATAAGTTTTCATCAGGGATGTGCACGTATTTCCTGTTTTATCTTGCGTGTTGTAGGCATACGAACTGAAACATGTACTTATATCTTCTCCGAATATAGATGAGACTCTTGGTTATACATGTATGGGACGTCATATTACAGTTCCCTTAATGTTTTTACATTCAATGGCCAAAATGTTTATATGTACACGTACTTACTAATAAAATATGTCATGTAATTCCCGATAACCTCCTGCCTCGCCCATGGGACTTATTTGATCCTCAGGATGTGTCTGGTAATCCTCCATTCTATGATGTAGACCTATGCGGGGGAATTGGGGTGGGGGAGATAAGTGTATAAGACGTTTAACATCTCGATTCCTTACAAATGAACATGTGTATTCTCAGAATTTTGGATATCCCTCTAACACTTTGATGTTTTGTGGGGGGGGGGGTCTACATGTAATATAGTTTTGAAACAGAAAAGACCCATATTTGCTTGCGGGTGTTTATCTTATTACATGCGGGTGTCTACTGTCGAACCGTCGGGTTCATATGAATCGTTAATGTAACCATTTTTAGTGGGCAACCCGAATCCGGTATCAGTCGCATTCCCCGCTTCAGCTGCCTCCGCCTCTTCAATTGCGTCCATTTTGTTCAAGTCATGACGGGATAGATGTCCTACTATTCCAGCGCCAAAGGCGTCTCCCAACACATTAACGCTTGTTCGCAGTCGATCCCTTGAAAACAATTACCAAATTAAAGCTTAATAAGAGAAAACATTAGGAAAAACGTAGTACACAACACAGGTTTACAGAGAAAAAATCATATCCTCCAGCTAAGTAGCCCTACATGTATTTCATCGGTTGTGTTACGCACTCGCTCAAAGTTTCAATTATACTAGCGGGTACATCAAATAACAGCTGAAAATCAGAATAATCACGGCACTTCTCCGATATTTCAATGTCTCGTACACTTTCAACGGGACATAAAGCTTAAGGTGTTTTAATGGCCATTTCTTAGGATTGCATTGCCCCCTTCCCCTTCCAAAAGAAAATAATATATGTTTTTTTTTTAATTTTAAAACTTATTGTTAAATTTTTTTTAATCAAGTCCTATCTGTATTTACAGTTATATCTGCTTCTATCTGTTCAAGTATCGGATGGCAATTCCAAGCATAGAACGGATAACGAAAATGGTACCGTCCATGCATCTGTTAATTACGAACTAGTACAGTGTATATACCACATTTATTTTATCCTTACATTAAAAACTAGGCCTATACATTAGAAAGACAAACTACCGTCTAGACAGTGGAAAGCCTTCTGGGCATGATTTATTGCTACATGAAGTGCCGTGTCTAATCTGTGTAATTTATCTTCTGCATACAATTCTAGGCGAATGCCCTGCACATTTCATGGGAGTCGACATTTGACACAGTCTCTGTAAAAACACTGCTTGGAAAAAGCATTGCCAGTGCATTTTCGTTTGGCAAGTCAGCTATTTATAGGCGGTATGAAAGAATTACAGCCTATTATGTGCTGCAGATTGTCATATTCCACATATACTGACAGTCAATGAAAACGCATCATTTATTTATCAAATAATATTTTAAGTTCCTTTGGCACATTAAGAAAATAACAGTTTTCGTGTGAAATATGACCCATTATTCAGTCACACAAGGTGAAATAAAGGTCAGAAAAGATAATTAAATAAAGATCATTAAAATGCAAGGTCACGTGATCAAATCTCTTTGGTTCCGCCCAGCCGCCAGCATCCCCATGACCCGCAGTGGTTCTTCCAGTGTCAGACGTGGCATCTCAGACCCTTTTTTCTCATGTGTCATACTGGATTTGGTGACTACCTTAAATAGGTTTAATTAATCACCATATATTGAACCCGATTAATTCACACCAATCAGGAAAAATACATGATTTTGTAACCGCTGATCATAAAATTAGCTGATCACAAAATCACTGAAGCGGAAATTTTAAACATCCGAGTGGTCAGCCCACTCTCTTATGACCAAACAAGTGCATTTGTACTCGTTTATATGGTTGGAATCGATTCTCGGTAAAAGTACAAGAGTACAAAAGTACAAGAAAGTTTTCTGATGCGTTTTCATTGACTGTCAGTATATATGTGGACTCTTTGGACGCGTGCCGTCAGTGTAACATTTAACTATTTCATATCACCTTTCAGTCACTTTTTAAATTTTTTTCCATTTTGAAGGACACTGCAGCATAAAATGGCAAAAAGAATGGGGCAAGGCAAGACTGTGAAAATATTAGACAAAATGTCTGCGTCACTGACGTGACTTAGTTGTTAACTTTCTGTGGGATGACCCAATAATGTATAAAACTATACTCACAGGAACCAATCCACGGCAAAGATGAGCTGTATGTCATCCAATGGCAAGCCTACAGCAGTGAGTACAATTGCCATGGTGATGAGACCAGCTTCCGGCACGCCTGCTGCTCCTATGGACGCCGCAGTTGAAGTGATACTAACATATAAAATAGAGTACTAGTAAATTTATATGAGACCAAATATTGTTCAACCAATATAAATCAAACTTAATAAAAATACCGTTCAAATTGGACAGCTTTTGACGAATGACGTACATTGTAGGCCTATCATAGATGAAGTATCAATAGCTGATTTAGGAGCGGGAGTATTTTTTATCTCCGAATCTGCAAAGCAAAAAGTCTTCTCAGGTTCAATTCGTTTGTATGACAAAACCTTTGGGGTAAAATATTGTAAGATATTGTTGTGAATTGTAAAAGTAAACGATTACTGTAACTATACCTGACAGTAACGATCTGACCAAAATTCAGTGGGATATTATTGACTTGGGCAATAAAGATGGATGCCACAGCTTCATAGAGAGCGGTGCCGTCCATGTTGATTGTTGCACCGATCGGAATTACGAAATCCACAGCCTTCTCGTGGACGCCATTATTTTCTTTACAGCATTGCATTGTGACGGGCATAGTCGCAGAACTAAAAAGGATATTGAATTTCATTCTTGATCTACCGTCAGTATGAAAGCGTTTTTGTAGGTGACTGCACGTTTACCAGCATTCCTGTCTATGCTAACATTTTTACAATATAGGCCTAGCAGCCTATAACGTGATATGAATAATGTCGAAAATACAGACAATACCAGTATATATTTACTACTGTAAATACACTTTTGCTAATAAAATTATGACTAGTAAAATGAGGAAAAACATTAAGAAGTATTAAATTCATGCAAAACGGACCTTCTTAGTCGTTTTTATATAAATCAAACTCATCTCATTGTGTTGAACATTTAGTTTTCACATAATTATTTCACTTTTAATAATACGTCAAGGAAAAAAGCTGACCTCGAAGCCGTTCCTAGAGCCGTGAAAATCGCCTTGAGAACCCCGTAAATGTACTTGTACGGGTTCCTCCGAACAAAGATCAGGTAGATAATTGGTAACAGAATATAGCCATGGACAACAAGACCGATTATGACCGTCAGCATATAGTAACCGAGCTGCTCCAGCACACGAGCAGGATCGTCCATAGAAACCACTCTCTCTGCTACCAGAAAGAACAGGCCGATTGGGACGTACCTGAAATAAAATTGAAGCATACATTTAAGGCATTACAACACATTACGAGGGACCGATACCCAATACGTCGCGTGACGCACGTCGACTTGCTTAAATGTTTGTTTGTTTGTTTGTTTGTTGAGCTTTGCTTTTGCATTAACTTCAACGAGTGCAGTGATAATACAATGGGATTTTGAAAAGTTTGTACCGATTAAATATTTAGATTGATATGAAATAAACCCATCAAACATATGCACCAACAACTACGGGGCTACATTTTTATACAAAGCACATCACAAAAATGTAAAGAGTTGCAACTAGAACACAGGCCTGTTAAGGACGTGAAAAATCGTTGATGAGGAGAAATCAAAGGAAAATTCGACTGTTGAAAAACAAAGAAAGCAATAGGACTAAAATGTGTTCCACTTACCACAAAACGGCATGAATTAAAACAAGCACAGCATCGCACAACGAAGCGAAGAAATTCTTGAGAGGTACTCCACGTGCACCCAGTTTACTGATCACAATACCGAGTGCGACAGAGAAGACGATCAGCCCTAGCACATTCATACCGTCTTTGGTACCAGTAGAAGTGGACTTCACGATATATGGGACATTTACATAGTACTGAGTTTCTGAAATTAAAGCGATGGGATTCAACTAAAATTGACATGCTACTTAGGAAATACGCAGCTCGTTATATGTTAGGGGAGACCGGGGCTAGTTGGACCCAGGGGTAAGTTGCACCCCCCCCCCCAATCAAGTCTCTTTATAAAGTTACTTTAAGATGCTAAATTATTTCATTTGGACTCACTGCCGACGCTTTCTTAGCACTATTGGATACGGTCACTTTACAAAATGATGTGATCAATTCTTTTACCCCATAGTTACTTTGTCATAAATTGATGGGGGGAGGGGGGGGGGAACTTACCCCGGGATCCAACTAGCCCCGGTCTACCCTATGTTAGAGGTCAGCCGTTTATGCCGACGGTCTGTCGAAATTAAAGGTGTCTGCCTTTCTACAGCTTAATGCCTCAAAGTCATATAGTTCATATCCTGCGGAGCTTTTCATCTTTTCCAGTTAAGGCCTTATTAACGGTAAACCTCCTAAATTAAAAGTACAGTAGCTGGTAGGGCCGTAGCCAAAGATGGGGGTCGAGGGGTTCGAAAGAACCACCTTTTTGCTGGGAAAAGGTCTCAACTGGGTAAAATTTTATCTAGGTACACAAAAGTTCCATGGTAAAAGGTCCATTTTTTCAGAAAAAATACCCCCCCCCCCCTTTTGAAACTGCGGGTCGTGCAAAATTTTGCCGATGACTGTGTTCAGTTCGTGAGACATCTCGGTCACTCAGCTGTGACGCCAAAATGTACTGGGGATTGACCCGAATTGACCAAGTCCAGAGCATCCACAGACTGTATGCTGTGTTGTTGATTTTACTGTCTTTTCCGAAAAGAATTTACACTCCTTTTACGACTAACAGTACACGCATCACTGCTTGTATCTTGTTGACATGGTCCAAAATCACATAACTATTAGACGAATAGTATTATTCGCCCAAGCCTGACCTAACCTAACCTACCCTCTGATATTAGGGGTTTCTATACAAAATTCAAGTATGAGCGATACCACAGTTCGTAACAGGCTACTAGCGCGCCCTGTGGTCAGTGAATAAACCTAACCTATCCTTTAAGGTGATATTACGAGGTACAAGTAAGTAACTCTCACACTCTGCGTAACATGCATGTACCTCGTAATACCATACTGTACACATATTTTTATGAAAGTTTGTTACACACACACACACACACACACACACACACATATATATATATATATATATATATATATATATATATATATATATATATATATATATATATATTAGGCTTGAAGGCTTCCAACAGCTATTTGTGTATCCAACTCCTTATTTCTAAAATCTGTTTGCAAATTGACTTATTCTTTTCGAAAAATCGTATTCAAATGATCCGAACGTGTTTTCGAGAAGATTTGAATGTATGAAGGAGTGGGACAAGTGGAATTTGGTAGGCCTAAATTTGCACAATATCAACGGAATGTAAACATTGCATAAGTTAACAATTCAGGTTTCTTTCATTTGGCAGGTGTATACGTATTTAAACAGTTAAACTAAATGCACAGCGGGCCTGTGTGGCCATTTTAACATGAAATCAACACTATACCTCTCCTCTGTCTTGCATAGGAATTGGTGCTTTGAACAAACTTTTAAAAAGTATTGTATAAAATATTTTTAAAAAAATATTTTAAAGACATAACAAACTCACCTGTAACATTATCCTTGTTTGTCACGTTTCTCTGCATCACTTCAGAAATATTAGCGTTTTGTTTGTAAACGTCTGGGTCCATCGACGCTATTAAGTTGTACAGAGAGTCGTTGAGTCGACTCATGTCAACGGTATGTGCATTGTACATCACCGTCTTCTTGATATCGGTCGCTGTCTAAAAAATGTAGTTATAATTATAGTACGATCAAAGTACTCCATCACAGTTATCGTAAGCTCGCCTTCAAAAATACCATACAGTATAGGTATACGTAGGGTATGGTTTAATGGTTTAATATATTAAATGTTTGACTGTTCTTTAAAATTTCGCAAAAAAATAGGGATATTTGAAACCATTACAGAGGTAACATGATAAAATGTAATTACTGAAAATATATAAAAATGAACCATTTGATTTACAGTTGAGGTTTGGATATTATGTGGAGTGAGGAGTAGGTTGGGTGGCGTTTTTTCTCTAATAGCGCATAAAATTACCAGAGAAGCACAGCAGGTTTATTGCATAGGCGTACAAAAGAGCACCATAATAAAAAAAGTACAATTATTCCAATACAATATCATCCTTCAAAAATCATGCAATGAAATCGAATGCTTGGCAATCGTAAATGGTATCTAATTCTACACTGAAGAAGTAAATCATTAAATGTGATCTTGAAATACGGCTTGATTGGCAAAATTGAAAGTTAAAAATAATCCGAAAGTCAAATGCATGTAATTTGGCGCAGTATGTGCGCGGTTATTTGACAACGTCGTAATCTTTTCCTCGAGTTCAGGGCGTTGTTCCTTGGTGAAACCTGCCTGTTAATATATGTCTCCCACGTTGAATAACCAATAACAACCTTCTTACAATAAAGGAGATTTTTAATTTTCTATATGTACATGTGGTTCAGCGGTATTTTTGACTCTAAGTAACTCAAATGCATACATAGAGGTGAGGTCGCTATTTACTTTGCAAACAAGTCAGACATATACAAAAATATACAAACATATACAAAAAAACCTTAACTGTAGTCTAAAGTGAAAAAAAATTTCTATGGTAAGAATGTTGCCCCGTGAACACTCTAAATAAGAAAAACACACGAGTGTCAGGTGTACGGGACCTGAATTGACTCGCTAGGTGACATCAAAGGCCAGACAGTGTATGCTGGTGTATTACCGCATGTTAAAGAAATGTTAAAATATTCATGACTTAAAATTTATTTTCTTTTCATACCCAGCAGACTAGTTATCATCAAAATCCATTTACTTAAAAAAGAAAACATACATTGTAAAGCTTGGCACTCATATATTTTGCTTAATCTGTCACGCTAAAATCCAGCTCCATTCAAACTTATTGAAAATGACTTATTATCCTGTCTTATCATGACTTATTATCTGTATTTGAACAAAAAAAAACTTACCTGGCGAAATGCAGCTTCAATCAGGTTACTTGGAAAGCAATTTCTAAACAGAGATAAGCAAAACTTAAATATCACATTTCTAAATGAATCAAATATTACTAGCAGATTGAACATAAGATATCAAAACGATTTCATTGATAAGTATATTGTAAATAATACACAATCATCCTGAGCAAAACTTTTTCGTAAATGTTTTATTTGAAAAAATCCAGGGCAATTTGGAGGAAAAGCACAACAGTTATTGAAAACAATTCACCTTTTTCTCCATTAATACTCTCTTTTCTTTCATACTTACAACACTAAATCCAGTAGAGAATCCAGGGCCTCGACATCTCTCACGACCTTGTCAGCTCTGTCAACACAAGGGGGTTCGGGGCATTCAGCCTCCCCTCTATTTCCTGGCTGTATGGTCACAACCAGAACTATGCCTAAGATCACAGCGAACAGGGTGGTGCACATGTAATAGGCGATAGCCCTGGCCCCAAGTTTTCCAGTGGAAGACGAGGGTAAGGAGGCTATTCCTGAGATAAGGCTTGAAACGACCAATGGAAGAATCAACATCTTCAGCATACGTAGTAAGAGATCCCCAGGAAATTTCAGGTACTTTGCCTGCTGCGCGGTCAAGGGCGGGTCCAGCGTGCGAAGCCCGGCCCCTAGGGCGATCCCTAAAGCCACGCCTAAGATGATACTTATAACCATCAGATGTGGGCGAAAAGCTTCCCAACATCTTCTCGCCTTTGACCTTGATCTGCCAGTTTGATATTTACCCATTTTCTTCAATATTCTTTGAAAAGAACTGCCCGTTTCTTGTCGTAGGCCTATTCGTAATCTTCTTCGCCTTGGTTGGTAAATGCCCCGAATGACCGTGTTTACTCTGTTGAATTCTTGGGCTCAACAGTCTGAGGAAGAAAAGCACTTTTATTTATCTACCTGAGTTCACGGGGAGTACTCAAAGGTAAAGTAGATACCCGTATGTTTTCAGTATATTATAGGCCTACACCCAGTGACAATGTCAAAAATACAAACAAGTCTATCCGATGTCAAATGGGCCGCAAATGGCGTCTCCATCTGAGAACAACACTCTTTTTGTGTTAACTGTATGAATATATTGCTAATTTGATTTAATTTATGATTATTGTGATAAAATCTAAAAGCGATTAAAATATCAATCATACAATTTTTTAATTCTTCTTCGGCTTTAGATGTACCTTTCAATTTCTTTTAAAGTTTTCAAACTTTGGATGTTGCCATAAGAAATATGATCTGTAAAGAAATCATGCAGGGGTCATATGCAAAGAATAACTGAAGCTGTTAAGTCAATATTCTATCACAAAAAGGAGAAAAAAAAGGTGAATAGGCCGTGTTTGGTATGGAAGCCTGCACACAAAGAAACCTTAAATAATTTTATCAAAAATTCTACAGACGTGTGTCATTCCACTCTACATGCCCATTCTACACCGTATTCCAAATGTGGAAACTCGCATTTTAAATAGGTAAGTGTCAGCGTTAGGCCTAACTTCACGTGTATTATAAATAACCGAAGTGAGGCAGTGACAATACTACCAGTATGTAGTAGCTAAAAGCATCAGCCTCTCATTTGATGTCCCTTCCACATAGGAATGTATATGTACATGTATGGTTGATGAGCTGTAGTTATAAGCATTAGTAAGTCGCAGAAGTATAATTGGCAGATTTATGTAACTGATATAGTCCGTGTGTTATTATTATCATTATTATTAGCGTTATTATTATTATTATTATTATTATTATTATTATTACTTTGTTGACCCGGTGTGGAAATGTAGAGAACGTCCATCATAGGATATTGTTTTCATTGGCACCCCAAAAGTGGCTCCCGATACTGTAGTGTTGTCACAGAGCACAAATAGGGCAAGGTTATTTTTCATGTAAGCATGCAAGGTGTTTGCGGTCTGTTTACATTGATCTAACTGGTGAAATCCGTTTTCGAACCATAATCGGTGCGGTGTATTTTGACAGGAAAGGGACGGTCTGACTTCACTTCCTTAAGCAAGAAGTTGTTAATTTGACAAAAAAGAAAGTTATAGAGACGTAATTGTTATTATTACAATTAATGACTATCATTATGCTTTGTTCTAAAATTGGTGCGTATCAGGGTCGCCATAAGCTGCTACTTTGTGTAAATGCTTGCAATATAAATTGCTATGCAGTTATTTTATTTATCTTGTTTTCAGCTACTGACTTAAGGCAAAAAAGTTGTCAACAAGCCCGCCCCATGAGGTTTGACAGGTTATTTGTCCTCTCGCGTGTGTTTTATCGTTACAATATCACCACTGCACTGGCTATGCTAGACGAATAGTTGAATAGTTAAATAACACCAGTGCATTTATTTGGCGTCCCGGAGAAGACGTCTATGTTGTTTGAAATTTAAGTGAAGCAGCTGACATCAAACAATAAAGAAACATGAATTCATGTCTCCTTCATCCCAGTGTACCACAAACTTTCATAGTCCCATTCTCAACGAGAAAGAAGGCAACGAAGAATATTGGTTGTTCGAGATTTGGCCAAGCAGGGCCGCTTTTATTATACAACCCCACTATCCTAATCATTTTAACAATGTATCTGTTCATCGAAAACCAGTATTAACAGAGCGTCAATCTCTGCTTCGTCTAAAGAACTACAAATTGTATTTGGCTTTTTAAACATTCGTGTCACATGGAGATAAAACATACTGTGCTTACCTTAAAGGAAATACCTTGTCTATTTTCAGCCTCTTCGATAACAATGAAACTGTTAGCTAATATGTTATGAAATCTTTACGTCTGTAGGTCCATTGCGTTGAAGTGAAGGCAAATTCATACTGTTTCACTGTGTATCTTTTGCCTGCAGGAATAACGTACTACTGTATCCAAGGCCTCATCTTTACGTAAAAGGTGAGTTACCGGTAATTGTGTACCTTTCAGGTGACAGAATTTGTCTTAAAATATAGGCCTACAGCACGCCGTATTGTGGTCGTAATGTGTCAACGTAAATTAAATGTTAAGTTTTTCCGGTATAGCGCCACAATGATATTTCAAAAGAAAAATCCATGGGCACATATGGCACATAGGCCTACATACCGTACAGGTGTAAGAAAACTTCAGTCTACGTTGATTAAGTAACCGTCCAAAGCTGCCCGTTATCTTTAAATGGCAGAAACATAAATGATGAGAGGGTCATTGTATTCCTTAAGCAGCGAAAAAAACTATTGTACATACCTGCGCAGTGATCATCGTTATACATGTACAGGTACCTATAGCAGCATACAGAAAACAGGTGGGTTTTAAAAAGAAAATTATATACTTATACTTACGTTTAAAAATCTGCCAGCAGAATCTCCTTCTGTTTAAACAACAAAGTCATGAATGTGTCCGAGAAGAATACTACAAAATCCGTGTCCTGTATTTATAATACTTGGAACCCTACTTTCCCTGGACCAGGATTTCCTTATGACATCAGTTGTACACTCCCGGGTGTTTACTTCGTACCACAGGCCGTGTGCTGTGGTATCATTACAATCGTCCTAAAGATAGATTCGTGGCTATATATTTATAACTTGGGAATTGAATACAAATCCATGCATGTAAGTATTACTTGCAAATGTTTTAAAATACCAAACTGTTGTTACTCAATTCCGCGTGATTATCCCTGGAGATTGTCGTAACTGACATGAAAACCATTATCAATATCCAAATGTATATGTGTCTTAATTGTACAAATAACTTTAGTATGAAATAATGTATATAAACTACGGATGATGGTCATATGGCATCCGCGCATGATGGTCAATGTCCGTCAGAACAACCATGCTGCAACAACCAAACCAAGCTTATAAATTACAACATCAGTCGAACAACAGGGTAATAATTATGAATGTAGGTCCGGGGGAAAGTCACATTACATACGCCGGTATATATACCTGTGTATTTACTGGTGTCTTTTGTCGCTAGTCGGCTAGTTTCGGGGTTGTAACAGTATAATCATCTTAATAGGTAGTGGCCACATACCTGGTTGTTCCATCAATGCAAGGACTGTTATTCTCTTACTTGCGTCTGCCTATACAACATGTACAGTAACTGTGTTAGATGTATCTTGAGTGGTTCGCTATTGTGTGAATCTGTCTGTAAACTGTCATTGCCTTACGGCATGCAACTGCTCGATTATCCCACGGAATGTTAATTAATAAAGTTGCTGACTCTTTTTGTCAGGTGTAAAACTGCGCGTATCTTCAGGCGAAGATAAAATTACAGGGGAAAAAAATGTCCCATATATATATAGGTACAGGTATGCCGGTAGCTGGTACCATTTTCCTTCACGGATGTGGACCACCGTCTACCAGGGAGGCAGTTATTATAAGCACGTTCTTAAAAAGCCAGAGAATCAAAGGACTGTCTATGTATCTGAAGACATTAATGTGAATACCTTATGAAAATCAATCTGTCGCCCTGGTGGAGGGTAGATGTCGACTACAGTGCATTTGTTGGCAGTGTGGTGAACGCGATGGCAGTGATAGGGACGATGGCAAATGCTACTCTCTGACCACAGGGTGCGCTAGTAGTCAGTTACAAAATAATTGTATTGCATATGCTTTAAGTTGATTTTGTATATTATTTTATAGGATCCTGATATCAGATTATAGGAAACTGTTTTCTCAAATACATGTACCTATTTATGAGAAAGGTTACACACATAATGTTTATTTCGTAAGTATTTTACACTGTACATTATAGGAACAGGAGCATGAGGAGTCAAATTCATGCCTTCTATATATTCCTAACCTTGAAGCATTCATAAATATACACTGACATGTGTATAAGGAGAGTTGCATCTACCGATTTCATGAGCTTATTTAAGTTGAATACGTTTGCCTGAATGCCGGGGATATATTTGGCTCTGAAGCCATTCCCTTACAAAAAAGTCCTATAGGATCCTATAAGATCCTATAGGATTCTGTAGGAAATTGACCCAATTTCCTATAGGATCCTATAGGATCTTATAGGATTCTATAGGACTTTTTCGTTAGATTTATACTGTACCGTGGACACCCCCTCCCCCTCCCCGGTACAAGCACGCAATGGTACTCGTCCTCTTTGTATGCTTCTTTATAAGCATTGCAGCAAAATCACAATAACTTAATTTAGGATCTATATTTTGATGTCTGCCCCTCTCGATTTTCAAGTCATGACAAGACGTTCTGAGCCGTGATAAGGCATTCTTGATCTTCCGCGATGTAATCACAGTTAAATAGCGCTCCACATTTAACTTAGTGAGAAAGGTTATTAAAAGATGTGATATATCAACCCATAAGTATTTAAAAAAAAGACACGGTTCAGGTAAAATGCACGGGGTTCGAGTCTTCAAAAGCATACACATTATTCGTGCATAACCACTCACAGGAAAATTTATTATTATCATTATTATTTATATATCCATAGATTCAGGTCCGATATTGACCTACCTCGTTTCAGATAAGGGTTTATCAAACTAATAGAAAACTGAAACACATTTGTTAACTGGGATCACTATAACTACCAGGGGTCTTGTAAGAAAATTCTTGAAGAAAGTATCAGTATAATTTAGAAATTTATTTTGCGTTTTTCTATACATGTAGAAATGTCTAAGATCCCTACTTCTATGATGTGTATGGGCAGATAAAAGGCTTTTTGGTTTCTTTTGATTTTCTATGAACTATCCTTATTAAATGGTTTCCATCAGTAGTAGGCCCTACAATCCAGTAAGGCATCATATATGCAAATAGAAAATAACATATTTAATTACGGGTGTCTTATTCCGCGGTAGCATGTGTTAAGTTTCAGTATTTCTTCCTATTCCATAAATACAGTAATTCGTTAATTAATTCTTCAATTGTCTGAATTGTGTCTTCACCAAATGAGCTGTCAATCATGGCTACTTCAGAATAATGGGAATTATATAATTATAGTTGATATCATTTAGTTATATTTTACTGATACAATTCTAGGCTATAAAAAATCTAGTCATTGTAAAGCATCAATAATTATGTAATTATATAATTATATGTATTAATTGTTATTATATTAAATCCCAATATGATAACAGCATGTATATATCACTCGTCCATGTAACCATTTTCACTGGTCAAATCGACTCTGCTATCGGATGCATTCCCAGCTTCAACTGCCACCGCCTCTTCAATTGTGTTCATTTTGTTCAAGTCATGACGGGATAGATGTCCTACTATTCCAGCGCCAATGGCACTACCCAACACATTCACGCTTGTTAGCAATCGATCCCTGGAAAAGAACAATACATTGTTCATTTTGCAAGTTAACTACATGAATTAACTGTGCACTATATTATCTGCTTAACTAATCAGTTTTGTTTTCAATAAAGAGTTAAACTTTAATCACAAGAACCAATCCACGGTAAGGACGAGCTGAATATCATTCAGTGGCAAACCTACAGCAGTGAGCACAATTGCCAAGGTGATAAGGGGAGCTTGTGGTGCGCTTGTTCCTACGGACGCCGCAATTGAAGTGATGCTAAAATTTAATAATGCAGTCTATTTTACGTGTTTAACGTGAAACCACATTTATCTCAACCTAAGAGAGTTAACCAAAATGAACACTCAATAACATTAATATTTATGACGAATGAATATAAGAAAATATGATTTTATAGATGTTTGGCCTACTGATACATGAACGTTGGCCTGTCATACCAGTAGCTGAATTATCAGTGGCAAATTAAGGGGCGGGGTATTTTTTGTCTACCCTTTCGATGGTTATGTATGCTTGTATTATTAAATACTCGGATTAAATATTGTACATGTACATGTAAGTTTTTCCAATTTCTGAAAAGTAATACAACGACAACCATAACTGTACCTGACAGTAACGATCTGACCAAAATTCAGTGGGATATTATTGACTTGGGCAATGTAGATGGATGTCACAGCTTCATACAGAGCGGTACCGTCCATGTTGATTGTTGTACCGATCGGAATTACGAAGTCCACAGCCTTTTCATGAACACCGTTGTTTTCTTCACAGCACTGCATTGTGACAGGCATAGTCGCAGCACTAAAAACATAAACTTATAAATTTCAATTTCGAGTTTTTATAAAGGTGCATTGCAAATGGCTGTACATTTGCCAACATTCCTGTCTTTACCAATGCTTTTAAGGTATATATAATGAATAATGTCAAAATTGCCCACGAGTACTTAAAATCAGCATATTATTCCAATGCAAATACAGTTGTATTTATTTATTTATTACAAGTAATATGATCATAAATTATAATAATTAAAGTCAATATAAAAAGGGCCCTATAAGAGATTTTAAATACATATACAAATATTAATTCTTCTTATTGTGTTGAGAGATATCGACCTAAAATATTTCCCCATATAATAATTGCACTTTATGCCAAGAATATAGCTGACCTAGAGGCCGTTCCTAGAGCCGTGAAAATCGCCTTGAGAACCCCGTAAATGTACTTGTACGGGTTCTTCCGAACAAAGATCAGGTAAGTAATCGGTAGGAGAACATAACCGTGAAGAACAAGACCGATTATGACCGTCAGCATATAGTAACCAAGCTGCTGCAGCACACGAGCAGGGTCGTCCATGGAAACCACTCTTTCTGCAATCAGAAAGAACAGGCCGATCGGGACGTACCTGAAATGAAAAATGGCGCATAAATTCAAGGTATTATTGTGCGCACGCTACGGTGGGGCATATAGGCATGACGCGCTATAATTATTCTTTAATAGGAATCATCGACTTCTGCGCCAATATATTGTTCATTGGTTTATTTTTTTTAATAATAAATGGCATGAAAAATGAACATGGAATTTCGAAACGTATGTATCTCTTAAACAGTCGGGTTAATATGGAATAAATCCAGCAAACAAACGAATCAACAATTCAGGGCTACATTCATACAACACCATAAAAATGAAAGAAAAAATCAACTGCCACATTTCAGAATTTACAATGTAAAAGTTGTTGACGAGAAAAAAGCTGATAGGAAAAGATGATAGTTGAATAAACAGATAAAATGACATAAAATGATTCCACTTACCATAAAACGGCATGAATTAAAACAAGCACAGCATCGCATAACGAAGTAAAGAAATTCTTGAGGGGAACTCCGCGTTCACCCAATTTACTGATCACAATACCGAGTGCGACAGAGAAGACGATCAACCCTAGCACATTCATCCCGTCTTTGCTACAAGTAGAAGTGGACTTCACGATATATGAGACATTTACATAGAACTGTGTTTCTGAAATAAGAACAATGGTGCTTAGAGGTGGTTGGCTCTCACACTGCCTAAATAAAATAATGCCAATTAAGTGAGCTTTACCGGAAACAAAAGACTAACCCAGTATATGTTTATGTGAAAGATTCTAAGCAATGCGCATATTTACGGTCCCAAAGATTGAAGACATAGCACTGCATATATCCACGCATATATGTTAACGCACGGGTGTTAAGGTATTTCATAGTACATCAACTACAAATTTCTTCATGGGATAAAATGCGATTTCATCTCCAAATCAGATATTCCCTGCGACTTCATGGGATTCATTCCACTAGCACAGAGCATCTATAAAGGTGTAGAGTCACTCTCTGTATAAGAGTTAAATTTTTGTATATCAGTAATAACAATATGAAGACTATTTGTAATGTGCGGGTGGATGAGCGCACTGCAAGTCGGACTACGTGCGAGGGACGTATACATATACGTATACATATATTAATTAATCTCTATTGATTATTGTAACCCTTCTTTTACAGATCTTTGCTCAAAAGACATAAAAACACAACAAGCTCACCGGTAACGTTATCTGTATTTGTCACATTTCTCTGCATCACTTCGGAAATATTAGCTTTTTGATGGTACACTTCTGGGTCTATTGATGCTATCAAATTGTGCAACGAGTCGTTGAGTTGGGACATGTCAACGGCATGTTCATTATAACCCACCGACTTCTTGATATCAGTTGCCGTCTAAAATAAATGCATCCAAAGCATTTTCAAATGATTCCTCTGATATAGTTACTAATCACAGATGAAATAATATAACATACTGAATGCGGCAGTTGATGCAGAACTATTTGTATTTAAACGTGTAATTTCATTATTCTGAAATTAGGAAATAATTCCGGAGTGACTTGTTCAACTGCATTATCATGAATGCTTTTTCAGCTGTCTTTTATCCTAAAAACATAATTCGTTTGCTGATATTTCACAATAAATCTCACCCGTTTATTTTGCTACATGTAAAACTATAGCGCGAAAAATCAGCTTCATCCAACAGTAGTGGAAATAACGCAAGATTTTATTAAATGTGCCCATTTAAACTAAATGGTATTTTAAACTCACACAGGAGGGTTGCCTAGGGAACTTTATCCCCGCACCCTCTTTGTTATAGCAATTCAGCTGGTCACGTGTAACTGACCAGCGGCCAGTCCAATCAGAACCAGCTGCCTCGTTTCAATTTGGTCACATGTAACTACCCAACGGCCATTCACAGCTTTAAACTGCACAGCGGCAGCAGCAAGTCATGCAGAGTTCACCGTCAGATTAATAGTACATGAACAGTGCAATGTATTATCTGTAGGCTACTAATTTTTTTGTTTGTTTTTGAAGTTATCGTGCAAAAGACACTGGGCTTTTTAAATGTATTACAAGGCACAACCATCTTATGCCTTTGTTCAGTAGTTTACAGTAGTATTAGAGGTGTAGGAATAAAGGTGTCTTAAGCCCGAATGTGTGTTGTTTTATCTAGCTTATCAGTTTCCAAAGTTGAAAAATAACTTACTTGGCGGAATGCAGCTTCAATCAAGTTACTTGGAAAACAATTCCTAAGATAAGAAAAGCAAGACATTCCCAAATGGCGTAAATTAAAGATTACCAGTAGATTGAACATGTATGCAAAAACTTGTTTCGCAAAATCTTGCTTTTGAAAATTTAAAGAACATATAAAATTGACGGAAGAGCACAATCTTTTTATAATTTATTCATTTATTTATTTATTTATTTATTTTAATATTATTATTGTTATTATTATTTTTTAAATCATAGGCCTACATAGTTTCTTCCCGTGTGTCCTAAACTAACAACACTAAATCCAGTAGAGAATCCAAGGCCTCGACATCTCTCACGACCTTGTCAGCTCTGTTAACACAAGGGGGTTCGGGGCATTCAGCCTCCCCTCTATTTCCTGGCTGTATGGTCACGACCAGAACTATGCCAAAGACCACATCAAACAGGGTGGTCCACAAAAAATAGGCGATCGCCCTAACGCCCATTTTTCCCGTGGAGGACGAGAGTGAGGAGGCTATTCCTGAGATAAGACTCGAAACGACCATGGCAGGATCAACATCTTCAGCATACGCAGTAAGAGATTCCCAGGAAGTTTCAGGTACTTTGCCTGCTGCGCGGTCAAGGGCGGGTCCAGCGTGCGTAGCCCGGCCCCTAGGACGATCCCTGAAGTCACGCCTAAGATGATACTTATAACCATCAGATGTGGGCGAAAAGCTTCCCAACATCTTCTCGCCTTCGACCGGTGTTTGCCAAGCTGATTTTTACTCATTTTCGTCTTTAAGAACTGCCTGTTTCCTGTCGTAATTCTTCTTCTTTCTCCTGTTTCAAATGTCCCAAATCACCTCGTTAACTTTTTGAATTCTAAGATTCCACCGTGTGAGGAATAAAACGGTCTTTATTCATCTGCCTGGGTTCGCGGGTACAGAAGACTCTTATGTTTCCATTGTATAAAACATAGAGAGACGAGGTCATTACTACAAAAAAGACTATTCGATGTGGCATGCGCTACACTTAAGACAACACTAAGTTTCTATCAACTATACAAAAATATATTGCTATTTTGCAACTAATTCAATTAAATACAATTTAAAGGCAGTAAAATCCTTCATCATGTCCTCCACAGATATGTAAATATAATATATTTATGTTATAGTTTTAGATCCTTAGGACATATGGCTCTCTTCTAAAACTATCCCACCTTAAATGTTGCAGCAAGCCGTAACGGACGTGTAAAGAAATCATGCTAGGGGATATTATATAAAGTTTATCTGATGCCACTACGCCATATTCTATTTAAAAAACTGGTGATGCCTTGTATGAATAACCTTCATACAAATCATTCTATGCTTAAAGAATTCCAACAAAGAGTCTTCAGATACGGAAATGCCTTACATTACATCACATAAAGAAAATAACTCTACCAAAGGGCACACGGCGGTAGCTTACATATGTAAGCAACAGACAAAAAATTACTTTCATGAACAACTGAATAGAGGCAGTAATAATACACTGTTGCTCAAAATGGCTGACACGACTAATAAAACTTATGAATTTGGTACACGGTACTTGCCTTTTTTCTTTTATAAAAAAGCGGTACTAAAGCACACGTAAGTTCCGCAGCAAAAAGGTCCACTTTTCCAGAAAAAAGACCCCCTACCCTGAAATTGCTGGCTGCAGACCTGTTATTGAATAAGAGTATCAATAAAAGTCATTAAATTGGATATGTGTGGTTTATTTCTATATACAGTATTTGTGGCACAGAGAGCTACATTGTATTATAACAAGCTCTATAAAAAAAATTCTAAATATGTTTTGAGTTACCAGTGAATTATTTTGTTTTCGCCTTAATGTTAAAACATTTAAACACCCTAACCTGTTTTTATTTCATTTAATTAATTAATTTTTTTTCATTTTTTTCAATTTTCCATTTTTTCATCCGTATGATCAGTTGACAACAGGTGTGATTAGATGCATCTACTTATTTTGGAAAGAACTTCCCACAGTTCTCATAACAATTAAGAAAGTTTTACACAGTTATTTGGGGATAGTGCTCGCGGCTTTTAAATGCCAATGTATCATTGGAACTTACATATGCAAAGCATTGTCTTAGTCGCAGTTAATAATTGTGGGTGCAGATAACAACCGTGCGATCTAAAACTGTATTTCAGTCCTTTGGCTGTTGTAGTTCTTGGAAACGCATGCAAGACGTCTCGGCACGATTTCTGAACCCGTTTCTGACATCATTATTGTTTCAGGTAGAGTAAAGGTAAGGTTCGGATGAAGTGAAAAAAGGTCTGAGATGCAGATGTTGGGCACATCTCGAAGACGTCTCGAAGACGACACGGCGACGTTCCATTCATTTAAGGGTGCTTTCCCAGAGATTTAGATCGATCTAAAGATTAAGTTTTAGAACGACCTAACTCCCTGGGGGTTCACGCTAAATTGCAGTCAGCCGAGCGGGCACCACAGTTAATTACCCCCTTACAGCTTTTAGTAGGCGGGACAGACGCCTAAGCCGGCCAAGCTGACAGTAATCTAGTGAGACTCCCCACAGGGATAGATCGATCTAAAAATCTATGGAAATGGGGTGTAACACTTCTTGGTCTTTATGGCCACATTACATGTATATGGTTAACTGGACTGGGGGCTACAGAAGGATGTTTTACTTGGTGAAGTGATTATTATATTGCAGTGAAAGATACCAAGGTCTAATAGAAGTGACAGGAACGATTACAAATTAATACTTTTGCAAGAGATAATACATTAAGTTCACAAAATAACGGTGGTTTGACTGAATATGCTCCGTTGGCTTACAGCCTTTGATACAGGTACGAGGACAGACTTAATATGACACGCACTAACATTGTGCCTAATTTAATTGCTTTCGGATCAATAGATCCTGATGTTCAGTTTTGTAAACATATCCAATCAGTTACATATTAGTTGATGCCACTCGACCATTTTCTGTCGGATCAGCAGGTACATAGGCCATATTGGTGACACCGTTTTGGGTAGGTTTGCTTGTTTCCATATCAATGGCTGGTTTCATCTCAACGGCCACCCGATCAGCGTTTTGTTGCTCTTCCAGAGCGACTTCTTCCAGTTCCTTGCGCGAGAGGTGAGCAACGATGCCAGCACCAATGCTGTCTCCCATGACGTTCACCATAGTTCGGAAGCGATCTCTGAAAAATAAAATAATTGAAAATTACTTGTGACCGACAGTACATATTATTTTAAAACCAATGAAAAGAGGGTTATACGCGTTAATTACGTACTGAAGTTGTCCTCAACACTCCGGAAATACAATGGGGAAAATATTCATATGTGCTATTAAGCATTCTTGGTACTATACATGTACAACTATTTTGGATCGAAAAAATTACATTTGATACGTCAGCAAGTCTATGCATAAAAGTAATGCCGAAAATGCGCGATTGGGAGAACACACACAAAGGGTTTTGATGAAAACCCCACTGTAAATTTTAATCTATCTGAGATGTCATCAAGAACGACATACATAATGCACTTACAGGAACCAGTCTATGGCAACAATCAACTGAATGTCTCCTAGCGGTAGCCCCACTGCAGTAAGCACGATTGCCATGGTAACCAGACCGGCTTGCGGCACTCCTGCTGCCCCAATGGAAGCTGCTGTGGCTGTGATGCTGAAGAATTAGATTGCAACACACGACGCGTTATACCTGATAAAAAAATTTACTAAGAAATACGAAGTGAAAAAAAATTAAAACAAATCAGTTGGGGAAAATAGAGAAATGATAGCCAAAACCAAATTCAGAAGTATTTTAACAGAGTTTGTACAGTTTTTGAATGGATAAAAATGTGAAAAAATAAAATCGCAATTGAAATCATTTTCATGGAACTTCGTAATCCAGTAATTCCTATGACAAATCACTTCTATACATTTGACGTGCAATGCATTGCGGCATGTGATCCAGATGTGTTTTCACGACTACCACATCTAAGTTTAATGGCATTGTTTACCTTATTGTAATAATCTGTCCGATGTTAAGCGGAATGTTATTGACTTGAGCGATAAATATAGCAGCTACGGCTTCGTACAGAGCAGTACCGTCCATGTTAATTGTTGCACCTACGGGGATGACGAAACCAACTGCATGCGGGTTGACCTTGTTGTTTTCTTCCAGACAAGTCATGGTGACGGGCATTGTAGCTGAGCTGGGTTAAAAGAAAATAAGAAAATGAAATGTACGCTTACTATATATATAAAATTATCTCTGACATTAATACAAGGAATTTTACAATGCTGCATAAAGTCCATGTTTTACAAAAACTCTGAATTTAGACTTGCACTCAATAACTGACACTTTTTAATATTTTGATATCAAAGATTGTCTAATGCCTTGCAATTGTCTATAAAAACCCCTTTTAAACAAGTTCACATGTTCAGTGTTTGTTTAAGGGCTTCCAGTGATAGAAACTCAACCACTGATATCGGCAGACTGATTATATGAATGGATTAACATGAAGTACCACCACAAACCTTGATGACGTTCCAAGAGCAGTTACCATTGCCTGCATCACGCCATAGATAAACTTGAAAGGATTTTTCCTGGTCATTATAAAGTATATCAGCGGCAGAACCACAATGGCGTGAATGGCTAAACCGGACAGAACCGTTATCGTGTAGAACCCCACTTGTTCCAAAACCTGGCCAATGTCCTCCATTTCTACCACCTTTGAGGCGATCAAGAACATAATACCAATGGGAGAGTACCTAATGCATGACAAAAAAAAAAACAAAAAAAAAAACAAAGCAGTATTATACTCCTACTTGTTTCAACACTTTCTTAATATTTTCATTAATTCTAACACTTTTGAGGTGCTCAATAGATTTTTTAAATATATAGATAGATTTTTTAAAGATTTTTTAAAGATTTTTTAAAACGGGCCTCTACATGTATCCATTGTTGCATACCGATTATGCCAACTTCAGAATATCTCCCAATTTCTCTGGGTGAACATAAGTTTCCTACCTTATTAATCAAGTAAGAAAACTAAATGCATAGAAATTGACACTGCGACACTTGCCAATTACAACACGTTTTGTATAGAGGTGATTTATGACATAATTACAACGAAAGAGACCATGATAATGGTATAAAAACGGTTTCAAACAAATAATCAATAGCAAAGTTAAACGAGGCCTAAGCAAGACGTGAAGCTTGTGCAACTTGGTCACAACCCTGTCCAGGACAGCGTAAAATGACCAATTGTTTTATGTCTAGATAAAAATATCAGGCCCGTAGCCAGGGGGGTTCGGGGGGTTCGAAGGAACCACCCTTTTTGCTGGGAAAAGGTCCACTCTGGGTAAAAATTGATCTATGTACTTGAGGATTTTATGGTAAAAGGTCCACTTTTTCAGATAACGAACCC